GTAGCAGTACAGCAGTAGTAGTAGTAGTAGTAGTTGTTGTTGTTGTTTACTACTATACTACTATACTACTATACTACTAGACTACTAGACTGCTAGACCACGTACTATACTCTCTACTACTCTACTACTACTACTACTACTACTACTACTACTACTAATACTATACTACTACTACTACTACTACTACTACTACTACTACTACTACTACTATACTATCCATTGAATATATCTACTTTCCAACGACGACGAGTATATATAGTGCTGTCCGAGTGTATATACACATATAATCGAAAGTACTATCTGCTTACAAATTACCATATGCCTTTCCTTATATAGTACTTACTCCGACAAGTACAAAGTATATTTCCTTATTATAAATACACCAAACATATTAGTTTTTTGATCTAGAATGTATTAGGTGATCAACATACTACTCGACTCTTCTTGCTTCTATAGAACCGGCCGGGGGATCTCCAGCACTTGGCAAGCACGATCGATCCGCATAGCTCGATCGAGGGGGCCGAGAAAGAGAAATTCTGTACATTGCAAAGATTGCAGGTCTCTTCTCGCAGATTCATGCACCCATGACGGACTGATCGAGCAGACTTTGCAATCCACAGGTCTTTTTGCTCGAGTGCAGCCATGGCGTGGTCGTGGACTCGGGGCCATGGATGGTCTGATGGCTGGTCGTCGTGGGCATCGTGGCCAACGACGCCGAAGGGCAGTGGAAAGGCCGACTCCATGCAGGGCAAGGACGCCGCTCCGGAGACTTCTAAGGGCAGTGGAAAGACCGAGTCGATGAAGGGCAAGGACGCCACTCCTGAGACTTCGAAGGGCAGTGGAAAGGCCGTGGCCTTGAAGGGCATGGACGCCCAAAAGGGCAAGGGAAAGGCCGAGTCGCTGAAGGGCAAGGGCGGCAAGGACTCCGCCACTCCGGAGACTTCGAAGGGCAGCGGCGGGAAGGCCGAGTCCATGAAGGGCAAGGACACCGCCAAACCGGAAGCTTCGAAGGGCAGTGGTGGGAAGGCCGAGTCGAAGAAGGGCAAGGACGCCGTCAAGCCGGAGACCTCGAAGGGCAGTGGTGGGAAGGCCGAGAAGGGCAAGGACGCCGCCGAACCGGAGACTTCGAAGGGCAGTGGTGGGAAGGCCGAGTCGTGGAAAGGCAAGGACACCGCTACTCCGAAGACTTCGAAGGGCAGTGGGAAGGCCGAGTCGTGGAAGGGCAAGGACGCCGCCAAGCCGGAGACTTCGAAGGGCAGTGGGAAGGCCGAGTCGGGCAAGGGCAAGGACACCGCTACTCCGGAGACTTCGAAGAGCAGTGGAAAGGCCGAGTCCGGCAAGGGCAAAGGCACCGCCAATCCGGAGAAGGTTGAGTGCAGTGCCGGTCCGTCTGCTTCCAAAGGCCAGGATGATGGTTGGTGGGACTGGGGCTGGCCTGGATCCTGGGCATCGTGGTCGTCGTGGCCGTGGAAGGGTGTCTGGGATTGGGCTTCCAAGTCCGACAACAAGGAAGCGATCCTGGTCGAGAGCAGCAGTAGCGACGACTCATGGGGTGAGTGGTCGTCGAAGCCAAAGCCCAATGATCCCCCGCATGAAGGACGAGCTGCCGAAGCCAAGCCATGGAATGCATGGCCCGATGATGCCAAGTGGAATGCATGGTCCCATGATCATGAAGCCGAGTGGAATGCATGGCCCCGTGAAGAAGACGAGTGGAATGCATGGCCCCGTGATGAAGCCGAGCAGTGGAATGATGGTTCGAGTGATGCAGTCGCCGAGCCCGAGCTGAAACGATACAAAAGCCAGCTAGGCGGGAGACCGATCGTGCTTGATTGAATGTGGCACTTCGGGCACCAAAAATAGTCCAAGCGCGAGTCTCTTCTTTGATGCTGCTGCTGTACTAGTGTTACGACTACACTACATGTCTAGTGCAATACTAATGGTTATCGAGTTTGCACGTAGCAGTAAATTTGCACGGCGAGTATATTGAACAATATTAATCGCCGGCTAGTCCATGGTAGTACTCTTACTTTTTTTGGCGACTATTGGAATCTAGTAGTTCTATAGACTAGTAGACTACTACCAAAACCTGTAGTTCGTAGCGAACAGTTCATAAACAGTCGTCGGTGAAGGTGTTTCGCCGCAACTACGACTTAGTGTCATCGTGTGCCAGGTGACAAGAAGCGCGATCCAGTGATTCCGGTTTCAGGCACACACACACACACACGAAGTGTTCGAGCACTTGTGTGTTCCACTGCAGGACGACCGACGGAGCCTAGATCGGATGAATCGACACGATCAGGGCCAGACGCTCATCCCCAGCTCACGTGAAGTCTTGAACTGAGCAAACTTTATGTGCCAGGACGCCATCTTCGAAGGACTCCGACACGTCATCCAGACTGAGCAGGCAGATGACATCGATGTCAATCCAGCCAAGGCCTTGGATGAACCGTTTTGCTCATCAGCATGTATGCATGCATGAGTCGGTGTGCATACACACGCATACATGCATCGTACGTACTTGTATGTGTATATGCATATACATAAAAGTATGTATGTACATATTCAAGACATGTATGCATCTGAGTCACATTCCTCAGTTTCAGCTAATGGCATGCCCTTCATCATACAAGCATCTCGTATTGAGATTCCCAAACAAACTTTCACTAATCCCGCAAACCCGAAGCACATCGCAACAGATGATACTTGTTGCATCCGTGTTACAGACTCATTGCAGGATTCGTGCTTTANNTGCTTCCCCCCAATCCCCCCCCCCCCCAACAACGCCAATCAAACCACCATGGAGCTGAGGTCGGAAAGCGCAGACTCCAACGGCAGTGTGGAGGGCTTGCGAAGGCAGGCCCGTGTGCGCTGCCTGACAGAGGCTGAGAAAGACCAAATCCGAAGCTACGACAAGCCTGAAGACATGGAATACCAAGAAAGAAAACGACAGCTTGCTGCTCTTGATCGGAGAATGAAATCCGATCCCGGAAGCCTACCTCCCGGGGTGCTAGCCAAATATCAAGATGCCTACGGCAGCTCCACCAAGAAATTCGAGCTTTTGTCGGGGTCCCAAGAACTCGCACGATCGCTGCAGTCTGTATAACTCGCAATCAGAGATGAACTGATCTCTTCAGGAAAGCCTGGATGCTGGACCCCACGTTTCAGTCGATGGCAGTGGAAACCCGATTTGTCGACGAACACTCCAAGGAGTGCATCATAATACATATACCTCCCGAATATCCTTGATGAACTCTGTTTGCCAGGAGAAAGACGATGTCTACGAGGAGTTGCCCCTCTTCGAGCTGGAAAAGATTTATTGCACGGAAGAGCAAAAATTGTGGTTGAAAGAAAAGATCGTCGATCGTCTTGTCCTGAGGGAGGTTTTCATAGTCTCTGGCAGAATCGCTCTGTGTGCTTCAAGATTTCAGGTCAGACGGGGAAAGAACACCCCCAGGACGCAATCGTTTTTTCTTGCAGAGTTTTGCTACTGCTGATGTGTGGCTCGTTAATACATATCTTCGTGTTGTCGTGCTACAGGATTATACTGGGTGCCTAGATCCCTTAATAAGGAGGCCCTATCGAAGGGAATTTCTACAATATGTGCGGTCTCAGATTTAGACTAGGGTTTAAGGGACTTGGGATACAATCAATTATTAGACTCTGATCCTTGAACTCAGAAAAGGGCCTAGGACGGAAACCCAAAACCCTACCAAGACGTGTCAACCGGACCTATAAAATAATACGTCAACATAAGCTATGCTGTTGAGGTATTACTTTATAGGTCCGATTGTCACGTCCTGGTAACCAACCCTATACCCTAAAACTCTTTAACACGAAACTATACCAGTCGTCCCCGTTTATGCCATACATCCCTCAAACCCCCAAAGCCAACACACAGCTTTGACAAGGTGCCACGGAAGGCCATAAATCCTCAGAGTGTTAGGCTGATCACGAAATTTGGGAATTGGGGGCAGATTCAATCTGATGTTTCCAGCATATGCGGTTGCAGGACCCATCGAACCCCCGGGCCAGGATTTACAAGCACTACAAGTATGGCCACGAGACAAGCAAGGACAAACAAAAGATTGGCACGAAGACGAGCTGCAAAGCCGATGTTGGTGATGGTGAAGCCGGGCTTGCAGCCAGGCAACTTCTGTCGGAGAGCATCCTCTCTGCCGGCGCCAGCTTCGAGGATTCCCATGCCTCAAGCAAAGGCAAGGGCAAGGGTAAGCGCAAAGGCGAGGGGAAGACGAAGCAGGCCAGGATGACTTCATGCATTTCCAACACAAAACAAGTCTGCTTATGTAGGACTGTGGTGTTTCGGGGCCAACTCGAATCGTCAGGTGTCTGAGGAGGAGCAAACCAGAAAGGAACTCAAGAAGGATATGGATGCCATTACTAGTTTGATGAGCTCCATCAGAGCCGCTTCATTGGCTTTGAGTTCTGTGCCTCACAATGTCGAGTTGCTGGCCCAGCTCAAAGAGGGCATGGCGAAGATTAAAACCCACCAGGAACAGATCGAAACTATGCTCTTCTCTGGGAAGTAACTTGCCAAAACTAATCACAAATATACATCCCATAAACCTCCATTCTAGTCTGAAACTACAGCACAGATGCAAGGTCGACAGACGAGGTGGGCGAGTACATCACCCAGAACAAAGCTGATTTTGAGGCCATGTTAACTGCTAGCTGCTCTTGTTTAGTTGGTGTTTGCTGCTTCTCTCTCGCCAGGTTGCCCAGCGCGATGTGGACCATGCCCAGACCATCCTGGAAACTCTTCGTCGCAGCCCGGTTCCCGGGATCAGTGCAGCACTGAAATGGTACAGAAAAGGCAACCATGGGATAGCAAATCGGTATGTGCATGCCAGAAGAAGAAAAAGCAAAGCGAGATCAAGAAAAGGCTGTGAAAAAAGCACAGCAGAAGCAGAAGCAGGAGGAAGAGGCCGCACAAAAGCGGCAGGCATGGGAAGCGCTTGAAGAAGCACACGGGGAGACCAAACGCCGTCGCTCCACCAAGGGGCCCGCGTGAGCCTTGTGCAGTATATGTGCATTCCTAGTAAGAGTCTAGTCTTGTTCTATATGGCATGTCATACAGCTCCCACACCTATATGACATTCCCATTTTAGAAGACTGCAGCTCCCGAGGCCCAATTTCCGTATCCAATCCTAGGTTTGTACGGGCACGATAAAATCGTGCCGCTGTGATCGGGCACCGCCCAGTCGTTCCGATTGCCCTGCAATCACCCGAAGATGGAACCGACCCTTGCAAGCTAGTACGTGCAGACAGGTTTCCTCGTTGCACCGAGCATATTCCCATCCTCAGTGTGTTGCTTTGCCGCAAGGGTCTAGGGGTCGGAGGCAGTGTGCCGCCCTCGTGCACGGCTGCTTGCAGATTATATTAGGTGCATAGCACGGATGCTTCACAGCTACTTCTGCAAGGGGCTGTGTGTGCGACCAGCTGCCAGGGGTGCGGGGTGAGAAAATCATTATGTGCTGCATGTCGAAGTATTCAACGAGCATTGCTGCACGAGGCCCAACATCAAATAATTCATTTATAGCATCACCGGCCAGGTCGATCCAACGATAGCCGTGAACGGTGTGATGAAGGATCTCTTTAAGATGATCGGTGAGGGCCAGGTCGGTACAACTCCTACACGGAACCTTACATCTAAAACCCTACATTCCATCGGTTTATATTGACCTGTGCAGGTGGATATTAAAAAGTTCCGAAGCATTGTCTGCCAGGTTCCCAAATGCTATTTGCAGAACAGTAGAATGACTCCAGAAACCAAGCTCTATACTCTAAGGCAGGTTCGAGCAGCTCCCAGCGCAAATCGTGCCGCCGCAGCCTCAATATTGGTCTGATCGCACGTGTTTCCAGTAGCAACAACTGTATGCAGCAGCCAGGTCAGAGTACCTCGACCTAGCCGTCAGCTTCCGTGGATCCCAAAAATCATGGGGCTCCGATCGTGTGTTGACTAGATGGTGCCACAAGCAGAGCTGGAGACAATGCCTACCATTGCCCTACGTGTTCGAGCTGCCGTGTGTCGGCAACTTACCGTTCTTCCATGCTCAGAGTGTGTATTGTTTTGGTGTTGACAACCAACATTAATTGCTAGCCAACTTTGGGAACTTGGACTTAAGGCTCACCTTAATCGGATGGGCAAAGAACAAACGGTGCTGAAGCATGCAGCTCTGTTACCACATGAAATTGTGGGAGCTCTCTACGACTTCGGATCTGGCTACTTTGAGCGTTTTCTCACTGGTGGCGACGAGGCATCGGTAAATTAAGTTCTAATTAGAGTATGGACTATTGACTGTTGTCTATAGGCCTAATTGCGAAGCATATGAACCCCATTAATAACCAGCAGCCGCAACCGAACAACAAAAGCCAAAGCCTTAGACGAGGCACTGGCCGAGCATTGGCGATGCGAGCGCATCATGGATCCTGATTTTGTGGCTGGGGTCGAGCGAGATGGCTTGGATCCAAAATTAGTTATTCCTTTGCGAATCTATGGGGATGGAGCTACAGCCCAACGACTCTTGTTTCAAACTTCAACTCCTAAACTATATGGGGCTTTGTTTTAATTTGTCCTATGAACACATGTCCGTATGTCAGTATGAATGCTTGCGAGATAGTCAATCTGAGGGCATCAATCATTCGAGATATTTGCACTGTCGCCACCTCTGGCCCCTTCCTCCACTCTTTTCAGCCGGATATTGATGAGCTGTAGCAACTCTTCAATGTGTGACGATGAATGTCGCACGGAGATCATGGAAGTGCTTGCGTGGTCCTTCCGCCAGCTACGTTCCACAACGAATATTGTTGAGCTTGCCTATCTGCAAATCACAAAAAGCAATACCGTCCAAGATATGAGATCTGAGGTTCTGGTGTTTATCCCGACAAAGATCACAAAGGTCGAGCTCTAGACCGCAATCGGGCCTCGAAGGCCGGTAAGCGCATCGCCGGCGCGTACACGGCGATCTTGGATGGCATCGAAGGGGACCAAGATTTTATGAGGTTGGTTTTCCATTTGACACGCACGGGGCTTACTATCCGGATGCCTCTTCTACGTGCTCACTCGCGTCGGTGGAACAGATCGTACTCCGGGAGCTAAGGTACAGCATCGTCCAGACAAGTATGCTACTACTGCCGGGTGCTGCTGGGTACAAATACATTTTTTCCCTGCATAGACTATGTAGAGTCAACCCTGGAGGCAATATCCTATGTCAGCACGGCTGCCGAAGCCGGCGAAGAAGCCCAAGATCCTGAGCTACTGTTTACGGCTTTTGGTCCACGTGCGAAACACAGAACCACGACGCATAGCAGCATTGGGTATAAGCTCGCAAAGACGACTATATTGTAGCTTTGCTTTGTTTGAACTCGCATTACGTACAAACAAAGGCAGACAAACCTCGACGAATTTTTGGAGGCGCATGGCACCACACCGCTTACTACAATCCCCTTCTTCAGCAACCGCCGCAACTTGCAGCAATAGCACTTTCGAATGTCGGAATGAAAACATTAATGAACGGACTTGGCCAGGCATCTTTCCTGACTGCATGCATATCATCGATTTGGCGGTTACTCCGGATATGGCCATTGCTTTACTGCTCGACTGGACAGACACAAGCCGCTTGATCGACCTCCCGAGCCGACCTGCCAGGCTGGAGTGGCTCAGCCGGGCTTACAGGGAATGGGTCGGCAATGCTTCTGATAGAGCTTCCTCGAAGCTATTTACAACAGAAATTCTGAAGCCGGGCGGATCTACATTTGCAACAGTGTCTCAACACTACGTATCTGCCGCAGCAGCCCGTGGATTGCTGATCTTTCTTGCTAAAATGGCACAGCAGTTTGCAGAAGAGCACGGTACCGAAGAGGATTTGTAGCTCGGACGAGATTTCTTATTATTCAGCATAGTTTAAATTCCGAATCGCAACGTAACGGCAACCCAGAAAAACCCTATGTATAGCTAGAGTACTTGGGTTTACTTTGATCGAGGCTCCGTGCTGGACTTTGCAGTGGTTTACAAAAGCTACAGCACATTATGCTCAGCAATGGAAGATTGCTAGATGAGGCAAGCAGAGCCAACTGCTTGCACTACTACATGCTGTTCCGATGTGCACTGAACAAGCTCGCGCTTAAGGCGGAAGCTTCAAAGCAACTCCGGTATCATTTGCGGCCCAAGCTGCACCACCTGGAGCATTTGATTCTCGACTTTTGTGTGCGCGGTCGCAACTACAGGTACATATCGTGTTATCTGGGGGAAGACATGATCCGCCTGACGAAGCGGATGGCCCTCAAGCTATTTCCCCCCGTTTGTGGCACTCGGGCCATCGATCACTACTCGCTTCATGTCTGCCTGAAATGGGCTGGGCTCTTGGATGATGTGTGACCAGTGCAGACTAGCGGCGCCGAAAACAGATTCCAAGCGTCGCTCCAGCGTGCATCAGCTGAGAAGTACCGGCTTTGTGATTCATTTCGATCCCACCCTATCAATATCTGTATAAATAAATATATATATATATACACTTAT